AGAGCTCTGGTGCCACAATAAATTACAGTTCCCATGATTCCCTAACCCAAAAGTGGATTCAATTTGCACTATTTCTGGCAGTCTGCCACCCCCCAAAGTAACTATTACATGAATTAGTAATTGGTTGACTGGCCAAACCCAAAGGATGCTCAACAATGACTCCTCTTCATCCTGGAGAGAAGTGACCAGTGGGGTGCCACAGGGTTCTGTCCTGGGCCCAGTGCTATTCAATATTTTTATCAGTGACTTGGACGAAAGAATAGGGGACATGCTTACCAAATTTGCAGATGATATCAGATTAGGAGGAATAGCTAATACCCCAGAGGACAAGATGAAAATTCAAAATGACCTTAATAGATTAGAAAGTTGGGCCAAAACTAACAAAATGAAATTCAACACGGAGAAATATAAGGTACTGCACTTAGGGCAAAAAAAAATTGAAATGCATAGATATAAGATGGGGGACACCTGGCTGAATGAGACTATGTGTCAAAAGGATCTAGGAGTCCTAGTAGACCACAAGTTGAACATGAGTCAAGAGTGTGATGCAGCAGCTAAAAAGGCCAATACGATTTTAGGCTGCATCAATAGAAGTATAGTGTCTAGATCAAGGGAAGTAATAGTGCCACTGTATTCTGCTTTGGTCAGGCCTCACCTGGAATACTGTGTCCAGTTCTGGGCACCACAATTTAAACAAGATTTTGAGAAACTGGAATGTGTCCAAAGTAGGGTGACTAAAATGGTGAAGGGTCTGGAAATCATGCCCTATGAGGAACGACTTAGGGAACTAGGTATGTTTAGCCTGGAGAAGAGATGGTTAAGAGGTGACATGATAGCCTTGTTTAAGTATCTGAAGGGGTGTCACATTGAGGATGGAGCAAGCTTGTTTTCTGCTGCTCCGGAGAATAGGACCCAGAACAACAGATGCAACCTACAGGAAAAGAGATGCTACCTCAACATTAGGAGGAACTTCCTGACAGTAAGAGATGTTTGACAGTGGAACACACTCCCTTGGAGAGTGGTGGAGTCTCCTTCTTTGGAGGTCTTTAAACAGGGGCTGGATGGCCATCTGTCGGGGGTGCTTTGATTGAGAGTTCCTGCATGGCAGAATGGGGTTGGACTGGATGGTCCTTGAGGTCTCTTCCAACTCTATGATTCTATGAATATTAAAATATATATTCTTGGGGCATGCCAGGCCTCATGAAGAGACTAGGATTCTGTTATTAATGTCAGGATGCAGCCTGAAGTAGCAATTACAATGTCCCAAATGACTGGCAGAACGTTTTCCCTTTGTCACTGAACAACCATCATGGGCCTTAGGAATATGGGAGAGAGTCCAAGATCTGGTTCAGAGAGAGTGGCTTCTCTTGGCAGGCTTGCTACTTGACAAAACTTTTCATTCTAAAAATTAACTATCAGTAAGCCAATTCTCCCCTTTCCACATAACTGCCAGGAAAGCTCTTTCCCCCTGAAGCAAAAACCAAGCATCTTTTATCAGGAGTACTGGGAAAATGGGAGGATTATACTTCTACCCTGTTATGTTTTAGTAGACAATTTTTTCATTTGGCATTTTACTCATACTATTTTTTCCAAGCCTCTGGGAAGACTCTATATTGTTGTTGGAGCTGTTGTGGGCCTTCAAGTCCTTTAGAAGTGATGATCATAGAATCATAGAATCATAGAGTTGGAAGAGACCACAAGG